AATAAGCGTATGGGCTTTATTGTGACAATTTTTAAAGACTTGTAAGTTCTGTATGAATGCAGTCATACAGAATATGGATTTTACATAATTGCCAAATATATCTGTTTCTATAAAGTTAATACAAAAAAACATATTATACTAGACTTCATGTATCCCAGCTTTACACAGCTGTATAAGGCTGGAGTAAAGCTAAGTTACATAAAAAAACATTTTATATGAGTAAACTGTACAGATTGACACCTATTTAAACACTACTAGAAATATGAAGACCTTAAAAAAGTTAAAAATAATTTACAGAGGCAAAATAAAATGGAACAATGACAGAATAAAGCAACAAAATGACAAAAAAAGCAGAAAAAAAGCTCAACAAAATGTATGGAATGAAAAAAGTCACATGCTAGTGACACTTTGAACTGTGAAGTTTCCACCAAGAGCCTCCTGCTATCAGCCACTACTTCTGTAACTTCAGTTTAGCAGAACTGAAAGTATTTAAATGCTAATGAGGTGTTTTTCTCTTTCATCCCATTAAATATTTACTAAGGCTGGTGAAAGTTAACATGCCCACTTTGTTCACATCAGCTGCAGGCATGTTAACAACACCCTGTTCTACCAGTCAACTAACACAATGTGCACTATAACAGCTTTATAAATGATTTCTACACAAACATATGAACAAAATTAACCCTGCAATATTAAGGTTTCAATGGTTTATGACAACCAATACAGAACTAAGCTGTTGCTACAATAATATAATAACTAGATTCTACACTGATCAGGCATAACATTCTGACCACCTCCTTGTTTCTACGCTCACTGTCCATTTTATCAGCTCCACTTACTATATAGGTGCACTTTGTAGTTCTACAGTTACAGACTGTAGTCCATCTGTTTCTCTGATACTTTGTTAGCCCCCTTTTACTCTGTTCTTCAGTGGTCAGGACCCCATGGACCCTCACAGAGCAGGTACTATTTGGATAGTGGACTGTTCTCAGTCCAGCAGTGACACTGAGGTGTTTAAAAACTCCAGCAGCACTGCTGTGTCTGATCCACTCAGACCAGCGCAACACACACTAACACACCACCACCACGTCAGTGTTACTGCAGTGCTGAGAATGATCCACCACCCAAATAGTACCTGCTCTGTGAGGGTCCATGGGGGTCCTGACCACTGAAGAACAGGGTAAAAGGGGGCTAACAAAGTATCAGAGAAACAGATGGACTACAGTCTGTAACTGTAGAACTACAAAGTGCTCCTATAGAGTAAGTGGAGCTGATAAAATGGACAATGAGCGTAGAAACAAGGAGGTGGTCGTAATGTTATGCCTGATCAGTGTATATGTCCATGTACAAGATAATATTAGTGTTATTACAATATAATATTGATATTTATAAGGAAATGGTTGAGTCAAATAGGGAAGCAAACATTGAGAAAAGCCCAAAAGTATCATTATTCAGCAGCAGGGCATCAGTGTGAGCCAAGTGCTGGCCAAGATTTGTCTCTTTATGACCTCCCAATGGTGAAGCTAGCACACGCTCCACCATCAACCCCTCCCTCGTGAATTAAATATTCCGCCTAGGCTCGTGACACTGTGTAATATACCAACGAACTACCTGCTGCACCTGCTTAAACCGGACAACAAACAAGCTTTCTGGGCTGAAACTTTGTTCTGTGGTTTGTGTTTTCTTGGTGTGGTTTGATCCTGTTAGGCTGTTCTTGGTATGGTTTGTTAATTCTTGGCACTAAACTCACTGGGGCGGTACCCTCTTGTCACTGGGGTGGAACCATCGAGCGGACGTCCTCAGTACTTTTTGTTAGGGGACATAATTGTACCATTATTCATTGCTGTCCTGTTGACTCCACACACCCCGTCTCGTCTCCAGGCCTTTTGTTAATGTTCTGTTTTAGAACATTAGGTGATGAAGATGTACTAACACGCACTTTTACCCCATTTAAGAACTTATTTAAGGTCTGCAGGTGGACCTTCAAACCACTGTTGTACTTTTTGGGGGTAAATTTACATTGTTTGTACCTTCATGAATAAAAAATTTACTTCAACAGTAACTTTTTTTCGGACAATTTAGGGTTTAATAGTTTTTGGTATGGTTTGCTTATTCTTGGTGTGGTTTGGTTGTTTTTGGTATGGTTTGGTTATTCTTGGTGTGGTTTGGCAGTTTTTGGTATGGTTTGGTTATTCTTGGTGTGGTTTGGTAGTTTTTGGTATGGTTTGGTTATTCTTGGTGTGGTTTGGTAGTTTTTGGTATGGTTTGGTTATTCTTGGTGTGGTTTGGTAGTTTTTGGTATGGTTTGGTTATTCTTGGTATGGTTTGGTAGTTTTTGGTATGATTTGGTTATTCTTGGTGTGGTTTGGTAGTTTTTGGCAAGGTTTGGGTTATTCTCTGTGTGGTTTGATTATTCTTGGTGTTGTTCGGTAGTTTTGGTATGGTTTGGTTATTCTGGGTTGGTTTGCTTTGTCTTGGTGTGGTTTGGTAGTTTTTTGCATGGTGTGGCTTATTCTCAGTGTGGTTTGGTAGCTTTTGGTATGGTTTGGTTATTCTCTTTGTGGTTTGGTAGTTTTTGGTACAGTTTGGTAGTTTGTTGCTGTAGGTTTAATAAATTGCATGTTTACAGCTTATAAATCAGGTAACCATGTGGGGTAGCCTGAAGGCTGCTGTTACTGCTGTTAATGCTTTTCTGTTTTTAATAACTGATCTAATCATCAAGTAAAAAGCTTTTAAGCCCCCATTCCTGTAGTCTTAGCTCAGCTGAAGAGGCTGCCTTTGATACTCATCCAACACAAAAACAAGCCCTGTCCCCCCAGCTTTTTTATACAACACATTTTCAAATGTAATCCTCCACTTGCTGCTAAATGTTTGTGCTACTGAATTATTTAGGCTTTTAACACCAACTATCACCTGAGAGAGCAAACCGAGGCCATACGTTCATACTGGCAGAAATAATATTCCTTTTTTCCCACGGCTCATAAAACTAGCTCTTGCTAGCCTTTATATCTCTTTATATAACATCTCTCACAAAAGAGAATCGCTCCTAATTAACTCATCAAGTTCAATCAACAAATACAATTATCGTTAACATTTAACTTGCTGGCCTTAAGCCCACATCAAGGCCCGTAAACAGGAGTGTCCACAAACTCCTTCGCTGAAATACTGTATGATTAAAAAGGGCTGTGGCTTTGGATGGAATGTACTGAAACATAAACCACCGGTCAGTTATCAGTTTTGGCCATGACTGTGTGTGGTGGTCCTTGTAGATACCAGGAACAGCCAACCACTTTCTTCACAAAGTCTTCAGCTTACAGACAAGCTCTGTACATTTATTCTAAAATAATATTTACTGCCTGCATTCTGATACTTTTGACGTACATATGCTGACGCAAAAGCCTGAGAGCATATCAGCCACACAGTTTTACATTTCCGTTCATTTTACACTCTTATTTTATTTTATCTTATATTCTTTTCTATTTTCCAATACTACACTGAAATCAATACTTACTATTAGGCTAACAATCAGACTTTAACTCATCTCAATCGGGATGTATGTGTCACTGCTGTTGGAACAAAACCTCATATCTCCATTTTTGTAATTTTTTCTCATAATTTCTCGTAATTTTTTCTACATAATTTGAAAATGACTGTTGCTCTTTACATTGTACGTAAATGGTTACATTGATTTATATTCAAAGTAAAGTAGGTTTACGCATATACATACATATATATATATATATATATACATATATGTAAATATATATATACATATATGTATACACATATATACACACACATATACATATGTTTGTGTGTGTGTATGTATACATATACACGTGGCATTCCATGTTTGCTGACTACTGCATTACATTTGATCTTTGAACCATGTTTAATTCTAACCATGTCATGTAACCTGTAAAGGCTGTGCATATAATCAAGGTTATGAATGAGCATGAAATTATTACAAGCTCAGTCTGAAAACATATAAACAAAATCGGCCTGGTCACCAACTACCTCTCCACAGGTTTCACTTTCGACCCAAATCTTACATACCTGGTTCATCTAACTGTGTAGTGAAGCCCTTTATTGTCTGAATTAGGTATTGAAGGTTTAGGTTGGACCTACAACACCATCCAGTTTTACTGGAAGCCTTGGTAAATTAACTCTGTGTCCAAGGGTTCGTAGACAGTGTTTCTTCTGAAATTAAGGTGTTAATAGTGAGTTTGTGCTGCAGTAACAGTCTCTACTCTTCTAGGAAGGCTTTACATTAGATGTTGGAACATTGCTGTGAGGATTTGGTCGAGCATTAGTGAGGTCAGATACTGATGTCGAATGGTCAGTTCTGGATCACTCCAACTCATCCCAAAGTTACTGAATGGTGCTCCATCATTCCAGAGAACACTGTTCCACTGCTCCACAGCCCAATGCTGGGGGGCTTTATACCCCACTGGCTCATGCTTGTCATTGGGCCTGGGGACCTTAGGGTTAAGTGCAGCTGCTCCAGAGCGTCCCACTCTATTGGTCAATGCTTCTTTATGGAAAAACTTATAGAGATATCTACGGCTGGGCAATATGACAATATATTGTTATCGTGATAAATTATGTCACATATTGTGTATATCTCTGACTAACCACTTGTTTCTAACTAGATTCGGTACCAAATGTTAAATAAAAATCATGGTGTTAACAATTCTTGATAGTATTTTTAAAAATATAGGCCCTTTTTTTCGGTTCCAACTGATCAGATGTCAAAAATAATAAATATTGTGACATGTATTGTGAAAATTTCTTAAAGTATCACGACATTATATTTTGGCCATATCCCCCGCCTCTAGAGATATCTATGGAGATATATATACCCCTCAAAAGTGCCTGCCGTAATTATTCGCACTGCTATACGATGTACTTTTGGTACTTTAGGCTTGGCAGCAATGAATAACTCTGGAAGGTCTCCAGGAGCAGGGTAGGTGACCACTGACCTGGTCAGCTCAACATACCTGATTTCCAAAGACTCCAATGGAGCATGCGGTGGACACCTCCTTGGACCCGAACCACACCGATGCAATGCGTGAGGGCATCCCAAGGATAAACACCTGGGCCACCGAACAGACGACCTGTCCTAAGAACGTGACGGCGAAAAGGTCCGGTCTGGCGCTGGCCACCTTGATCCATGTTCCTGCGCAGTTCGATGCCGTGGCCACCACCGCTATGACCCTCAGGCCCTTCTTGTCCAGGAGCCACGTCACGGGGAAGATGAGCGGAATGTAGGTGAGCATGTAGATCATGGACATCCAGTCAATGGTGAAGGAGTCCACGCCGTAGAACCTCATGAAGATGTTGTTGATGATCCCGTACTGGATCCACTGATAGGCGTTGCAGAGGGAATAGGAGCTGAACAGACACACTATCAGCCATCTCCTCTTGTACAAATGAGTGGTGGCTGCGTTCTGGAGAGGTGCACTGCTTTCTACTTGGCTGTCGTTTGGGATGGGGTTCTTTAGACGGTCGTCCACACAACACTTACTGTCATTCACCTCACCTGAACTGGACCTGTCCCCCATATTCTCCAGTCAAGCTGAAATTCATAAACAGTGGTGTTTTCCTTCTAGAAAAGGGTAAGTATTTGTTTTTCACCCAACACTAAGCTAATTCAGCAGTTAACTCACATTAATTGCTTAATTCATTCATTAACGTAGAATCTGTACGTCGGGTTAATGGTAAAACGTGGCTGTAGGCTTTACTCAGACTCCAGTAGTGGGCTATACTGACCCCCTTAAGCTCAACGAACCCAAACGGTCAGCTGTTATACTAATAGAAACTTTACCAGCGTTGACTAGACGAGAGAAGCAACACCGAAACAAATCTGTACAGGCGTGAATGGTCACACTGTAACCGAAACACTTCCCCAAAACTACAAATATAAGTTGCCAGAGGCGCTTTTACACCAACTCGAGCAGCCAGTCCTCCGTCAGACGCCTCGCAGAGTCTCCAGGCGGTAGTTTTTGGTGGAAAATCAGCCGGACTGTCACGTTAAAACCGGAGAACTGAACTTCAGCCGTAGACCAAAAGTCTGTCATCCCGGACGCACGGTGGGCGGGGCATACGGAGTGAAAACTGCCAGTCTTTTCGCGTCAACCAATCGCGTCGCTCATACGGCTACTCGAGGATTCCGTCCTTTTCAAACGTCGATGTTTTTCCATTTTCGTTAAATAATAAGTTCATTTTCAGACGATATTTTGTATTTAAAGCACCTGGAGTTTCAAAATGTTTTTAAAACTTCTTTTTTAAGCAGCACAGACTGAGCCGGAGGAGGAAGTCCTCCCAAGCCCCGCCCTGAGGGTACGTTCAGTTAACCAGCGACCTCTTCCCTTCCTCCCTTCCTCCCTTCCTCCCTTCCCTCGTCTACTCAAGACTTTCAGAAATCTCTCCTGCATTTTGTAATGTTTTAACATAAGGGCTCCGTTTCATTGTTTATTTTTTATCATCTTGTTTCTTGGGAACCTTCACTTATTAATAATTCAGTGTAATGATTCAGTATCCGCTGTAAATTATTAGTTTATATTAGTTGAGGAATAATTCATAGTAGTTACTGAATAACATGAAGAAAACTGGAGTTGTAGGTTGGAGTTGTATCATAGTAGTAGCTGAAAAATTCATAGTGCAGACTGAATAATTTATTCTAGTTGAGGAATAATCCATAGTGGATGATTCATAGTAGCTACTGAATAATTCATAGTAGCTACTGAATAATTCATAGTGAATGCAGAATAATTCACAGTATACTAAATAATTCATAGTGGTTACTGAATAATTCATAGTAGATACTGAATAATTCATAGTAGCTACTGAATAATTTATATTAGATACCGAATAATTCTTAGTGGATATTGAATAATTCATAGTAGCTACTAAATAATTCATAGTGGATACTTAATAATTCATAGTAGCTACTAAATAATTCATAGTGGATACTTAATAATTCATAGTAGCTACTAAATAATTCATAGTGGATACTTAATCATTCATAGTACCTACTGAATAATTCATAGTGGATACTGAATAATTCATAGTGGATACTTAATAATTCATAGTAGCTACTAAATAATTCATAGTGGATACTTAATAATTCATAGTGGATACTTAATAATTTATAGTAGCTACTAAATAATTCATAGTGGATACTGAATAATTCATAGTGGATACTTAATCATTCATAGTAGCTACTAAATAATTCATAGTGGATACTGAATAATTCATAGTGGATACTTAATCATTCATAGTAGCTACTAAATAATTCATAGTGGATACTGTATAGTTTATAGTGGATACTGAATATTTGACTGTAGATAGGCATTATTCAATTTCCAGTATGAATCATTCAGTATCTAATATGAATTATTCCTAAACTAGTATAAATCATTCAGCAACCACTATGAATAATTCAATATCTACTATCAATACCCATGAATACAATTTCAAAAGCATCTTTTTATGAATGTAATTTATCTGCAACTCATGGTCGCCACTTTATTAGAAACATCTACCTTGTGCTTCCACTCAGGTTATGCTCTGAGAGAGGTTTCTAATAAAATGGCCTCTCTCCTACTCTATCCCTGTCTGCAATGTTCTGCAGCATTTTCCTCCTGATCATGGTCCAGCTGATGGTAGTCTTCTGCAATGGTCAGTCTTTGGGACATTTTTGTGGAAAAAAAGAGACACTGTAATGTATAATATTCACACAGAGAAGGAAAAGAGAACTCTCCGTAGATCGGTGATGGCCCTGGTCGCATGATAACAGCACACTCTGCTGGACATGTTGGTTATTACATGTCTAGTAAAGTAAATCCTGCATGTTTAACAAATAAGCAGAAGCAGTTTGTTTTTACAGTCTTTACAGTACTGTAATTTGATTCGGATGAAGTATGAAAGCTCTAGAGACTGAAAAAAAAGGTAAATAAGCAATTTTATAAATTTTATAAAGAAAGATTTCATAACTTTAAAACAGAATAAAACTCCCAGAGCGTTTAACAAAGTACTATACTATTGTATATAATGCAGTAGCATCTTTTCTCATTTAGCTCAATGCAATAGCACATAATACCGAATGTAGAGGTAAAAGGCACGAGTTCTTATAATCTATATTCTATCATATTGACATTGTATGAGTTCACTACATGGACTAGTGTGGCTAGCCTGGAGCAACTAGCGTGAATTCACTAGAAAATCCACAGCCTAAAACACAGCATCCACTCAAAGGGTCATGCTTTACAGAGACTACATGAAACATTCATAGCATGTTCATAAACAGTCCAGTTACACTCCATTACAATAACATAATCATAAAGGTCATGCCGGCTGACCAGCATACTAGCATCCAAAACACAACATATGCTGGTATGCTGGTGACCAGCCACGCTGGCCTATGCTGTTTTCTTCTAACAGTGCTGTTTTTTAGTGTAGGAGTGTTTATCAGAAGGCTGTACATACAGACGGCTAATAAATAGAGCTCTGATGTTGTGCATCATTATACAGTCGACGTCACGCCCATATTAGGAACTCCGGGTCTAAGCTGGTTTTCTCTGTGAGAAAAATGAATAAAGCTTTTGAAAATCACCACCATTATGCTGTGTGGTTCACGAAATTGTCCCTAACCTGACAGGATTTATCCCGGGGACATTTTTCCTCTGAATTTTGCTGAATTACAAGCTTGTTAAGGAATCAAAATGCAGCACCTGTATATTGCCATGACTATTTTTACACTCTCATAAAAAAGTTACTAAACTGTCACTGGGTCAGTTCCCCTCTCGTCTCTGGGGTGGGACCCTCAGGGGTCCATCTGAGTACCTTTAGTCAGGGAACATAACTGAACCATAATCCACTGAAATGATATGTTCTAAACTGTACTGACTCCACACACCCCGTCTCGTCTCCAGGCTTTTATTTTACTGTTCTGTTTAAAACATTCGGTTATGAAAAGGTACAAATACAAACTTTTCACCTGGAAAAACTTATTTAAGGTGCACAATCAGACCTTAAAACCACTGTTCACTTTTGTGGAAACATTACATTGTTTGTAACTTGAATGAAAAATTTTACCTGTACCTGTGATTGGAAACATTATACTGTAAAAACATATCAAATGCTAAAAATAAAAATAGTAATTATACTTCAAATCAGCATAAACTGTTAAAATTGCAGAAATAAAATAACTTAATGAATGAAAAATCAAATAGAGATAACATAAAAAAACATAGTTAACAAACCATACCCACATTATCCAAGCCGCTTATCCTCCTGGGCTGCGGGGGGTGCTGGAGCCAGCAGTCATTGGGCAGAAAGCAGGAAACACCCTGGGCAGGCCACCAGTCCATCACGGGGCAGATATGTAGACACATACATTCACAAACACACACAAACACACACTCATCAAGGGGCAATGTAGCATCTCCAACTGGCCTCACTGCACGTCTTTGGACAGTGGGAGGAAATCCACACAGACGCCGGGAGAACATGCAAACTCTATGGAATATCTAATTTTATTTTTTGATTAATATAGCGACTGCGATTTAAGTTGCGATTATTTTCTATGAATTAAGGTCCAGTTTTTTGGCCAATAAGACCAGAATATCCACTTTTTCTGGATTTAGAAGTATATTTGGTAAAATTAGCTGTTGAACAAAGCTGTACCACTTTTCGGGTTTGTAGGTGCTAGCACTAACTAGCCTAGCAGCAGATCTATGAATTTCCATTTCATGTAATGTTAAATAAATTTAAGTCTTTATCTATATTTCATTATTGAGTCATATACACCGATCAGGCATAACATTATGACCACCTCCTTGTTTCTACACTCATTGTCCATTTAATCAGCTCCACTTACTATATAGGTGCACTTTGTAGTTCTACAGTTACAGACTGTAGTCCATCTGTTTCTCTGCATACTTTGTTAGCCCCCTTTTACCCTGTTCTTCAGTGGTCAGGACCCCCATGGACCCTCACAGAGCAGGTACTATTTGGGTGGTGGATCATTCTCAGCACTGCAGTAACACTGACATGGTGGTGGTGTGTTAGTGTGTGTTGCGCTGGTCTGAGTGGATCAGACACAGCAGTGCTGCTGGAGTTTTTAAACACCTCAGTGTCACAGCTGGACTGAGAATAGTCCACCAACCAAAAACATCCAGCCAACAGTGTCCTGTGGGCAGCGTCATGTGACCACTGATGAAGGACTAGAGGATGACCAATGCAAACTGTGCAGCAGCAGATGAGCTATCGTCTCTGACATCTACGAGGTGGACTGACAAGGTAGGAGTGTCTAATAGAGTGGACAGTGAGTGGACACAGTGTTTAAAAACTCCAGCAGCACTGCTGTGTCTGATCCACTCATACCAGCACAACACACACTAACACACCACCACCACGTCAGTGTTACTGCAGTGCTGAGAATGATCCACCACCCAAATAGTACCTGCTCTGTGAGGGTCCATGGGGGTCCTGACCACTGAAGAACAGGGTAAAAGGGGGCTAACAAAGTATCAGAGAAACAGATGGACTACAGTCTGTAACTGTAGAACTACAAAGTGCACCTATATAGTAAGTGGAGCTGATAAAATGGACAATGAGTGTAGAAACAAGGAGGTGGTCAGAATGTTATGCCTGATCGGTGTAGTTTAATTGATGATCCCACTCCAACACAGAACCCAGTGTAGAGGGGCTGAGTGAATGTGGTGTGGGCTGTGTGCAGGAGGGTCTTTGTGTAGGAGATGCTGTTGAAGTACAGTGTTCCTGCTCTGTGACCCACATACACTCCTATTCTGGAGGGTGGTGGACCTGGGAGCTCAGTCTGAATGCCGTTGTGCCAGAAAGAGAAAGCTGAACCTCCTCTCAGATCCCAGGACTGACCGCTGTTTCCAGCTGCACACTCTTTACCTCAACCTTTCCATTTCGTCATACTTAAAATTATCATTATAATTATAAGGCACATATTCATAAGACACAGAGCACTGTCCAAAAGCCAAAGACCATCCTTTTGGTTATTTATTCAAAACGGACATTAAGTTCAAGTT